ATAAATATTTACACATTTATGCAGATTAAATATGAGGTCACACATGCACAGACAATGGTTTGTGCATCTCTATTGTTTTGCCTTCTACTGCTCAACATATCCCTCCATATGAGCACAGGGGTCAGAGTTCACCGCCCATCACCCCGTCCACATGCAGGCCCCTGGGGCCTGATGGTAATTAATTAGATGTGAGCATGTCAACATATTCTGTTACACCAAATACACAAAATAATGATTTTTAAAAAAGCATCATATGACCCCTTTAAAACAAGAAATAGTCTAAATGTGAAATTAAAACCGCCAGTAGGTGACAGCAAGTGACTGTTAATGAGTGAGTCATTGAATCATTTATTCAACCGATTCGTTCAAAAAGCTGATTCATTCAATAAGTAAACACCGTCCTTTGCTCAGAGATGCAAAACAGTGCTGTGATCTTTGTTTGGAGCTATATTCGTTAGCAAAATTGAGCAAAAACAAGCAATATTATGTCTAAAATGTAAGCCACTTATTGCTTTACTGTACTTGTATAAAATGATTATTAAATATGTTCATGCTGATATCTGCAGAAAAACGTTACTCTTTGTGTGATATAGATTAAGTTAACTATATTAAATTATATAAATATAAAAAGCATACGGAAGCATTTTTGCCATCTACAATTAATAATACTTCGTTACATTACACCACTGCATTTTAGTGAAATATTTGAATGTTTTTAAAAATGCATTTATTACAGTGCAAATTCAATGCAAACAAGCATGCATTTCTAATTATAACCAGTTGCTCTTGGTTAATTCTGAATTAAACAAAAATGAGTTGTGATTTAGTGATGGATGAAACGGTTTTGAATTATATTTACTCAGTCAGCGAGTCTGATTCAAACTGCTGTATAATCTTTTTGATTGACTCCTTGAAAAGAACTGGTTCATAAGAGTCATTTGTTAGTGAATCGGACATCACAGCTCTCAATGTGTTCATAACTAATAGCGGCACACAAACTGCATATGAACACACAAGCTTGTACCGACTGCCTAGAATATAAATGGTCATAGATTCTTTTTTATTTATTTATTTTTTGTGTTTATGAACATTTTAGTCACAGTCAAAAGCCTTGGACATTTTGTCTGTGTGAATATGTGTGTGGGAGAGAGATTGCTAAGGGAATGGTGTCTTTTAATCATCCTTGAGAGCTCAATGCATTAGCTTCTGATCTCTAAGCAATACATCACGTCATTTCACTAATAAGTAATGTTTATGAGATATACAGTTCCCGGACCTCATGTACACGCACCACCCACAGAAATTAGTACGTGTTAACACAGAATGATCATTTCGGGGGCAGGGTTTGGAGTTAGTATTAACCGGGAGGGTTGTTGGGCCTGCTTTAAAGCCTAAGGCCAGTCCGTTATGCCCATCTCTGACCCGCCTGTCTGCCAGGATCCCGCTCTGCCTCCCACTCACCCTCCCTGGGCACCCCGTCTCGCTCTCCAGCCCGTGAGCAGGTTTAATAACAGAGGCTGTCCTGATCTCTGTAGGGGTCCAGACACCAGACTAATGTAGTGAGACAGGGAGAGGGGTGCTGTGTGTTGCATACTATATAAGCTACGTTTAGTCTTTATATGCACACCCACACATAGATGGTCACGTGCAATGGATGATACCGTCTGCACTCTGGATAAATATTTACACATTTATGCAGATTAAATATGAGGTCACACATGCACAGACAATGGTTTGTGCATCTCTATTGTTTTGCCTTCTACTGCTCAACATATCCCTCCATATGAGCACAGGGGTCAGAGTTCACCGCCCATCACCCCGTCCACATGCAGGCCCCTGGGGCCTGATGGTAATTAATTAGATGTGAGTTGCTAATCTACTGTTTGTGGATCTTAAGACAAACCTGGCCCTGTAGTCAAACTACTAATTAATATAATCCCCATCATGTGATCTCCTCTTGAGGTGCATGCTGGGCCTTTTCTTTCAGATAGCACAGATGGTTTGAAATTCTATTGAACCAAGAAACGCATTTTCAGATGTTGGAGATTTGTGAGATAAGCATGATGCTCTACCAAGATTTGCATTGCTATTAAGATAAAGTTTGTACACAGTTCGTGCTATGGATTATGTGGCTTGTTGAGGAGAGGTTTGCTATTACTTTTCTAAGTGATCAGATTTAGGATTTATGCCTGGCAGATGAAAAAAGGAACTGGAAGGAACTTACGCCATAGTGTGGGACACGAATATCGTTAGCCAGGTTTCCATTCACCAGTGCTGTTATTCTTAACTGAAACTAAAACAAAAGCTACTGAAAATCAATTTTGTTTGCTGAAATAAAATATAAATATAATATGAAAAACCTAAAAAAAAAAAAAAAGTAAACAATTAGCAAACTAAATAAAATGTTATGGTTGAAGTACTACAATTACTAAAACTTAGATCAAATAAATAAAAGATAGATAAAAGATCAAATAAGCTAAATAGAAATGTAAAAAAATTTAAAACTAATAAAAAGACAAAATTTAAATTAAAACCAAAAATATGTATATCTGACTAAAAATAAATACTATAGGTAACACTTTATTTTAGGGTCTCTTAACTAGTTGCTTATTAGCATGCATATTACTAGAATATGAGCCATTTATTAGTACAAATTAAGCACATATTAATGCCTGATTCTACATGACCTTATTCTACATCCCTAATCCTACCCAATATCTAAACTTAACAACTACTTACTAACTATTAATAAGCAGCAAATTAAGAATTGATTGAGGGAAAAGTCGTAGTTAATAGCGAAAAAGTGTTCCCTATTCTAAAGTGTTACCATACTATAATAGTATATAAATAAAATAACACCGCCGTCCCTACCGTTCTATGCATATTTTAGGATGTTACATAAAAAAGCTGGATGGAAACACCAACATACAAATACATTTGCAAATAATACATAAGGTGTACGCTCGCTCACTTAAGGTGGATACATTAAAAAAGACTTTAATGTATGCATTTGTCTGTAAGCGAGAAACCTCACATAATTGTTTTATGTATTTTATTTTTATTTATTTATTGTTCTTTTACAAAAAGCTAGTTTCATTTCTATTTTGCAGCAGTTTTCCAAGAAAGTGATGATTTGCTTCTCTTGAAAACATGGGATCTAACCACTGCCTTATTCACAAATGTTTTTTTTGCGATATTTTTTTTTCACATAAATTGAATTTGCAACTTGGATAAACATATACAGACTTGCCGGTGAGCACTTTTGACTTGAACCAGTAAATAACCACCTAGCAACTGTGTAGCAACCTTAGTATAACCGTAGAACAATGCCCTGGCAACCACTCAGAACAGCCCGAAATCTTCTGAACATGTAAACATCAAGAATGTTTATTATTAAACTATAGAATTAGATGTGCGCACTGCAGAACGCGCTCACAGTTTAATGTTAGTCAGCAGAATGAAGGGAAGGTGTTGATGACTTCCTGCTATTTCCACTCCCAGAAGGCTGTGCTCTCATAATCACAAAAAGACCTCTACGCAAAGACCCACGCACAAAACCCTTGCCGCCTTTTAAAAATAACCAAAAACATTCTCCCTGCTGACGCATGTTACCTCCCACCAGATTCCTGTCAGGAGGGCTCTGTTCTCCGTTACCTGCTCATTGGCTAAAGCAAGTCTTGTTTTTTCCTTTTTCTAGTCAGACATATCAGCTGTGATTGTTTGGATCTTCTGAACAGTGAATATGTGCTGTGAGAGAGGCTTTGATTAATCTGCCTTTTAATCTGATTCCGTCTCGTAACCTTTGACCTATTGCAAGTGCCTTGGACAGATTTATTACAATCCTTGTTTGTTTATCCATCCATTCCTGCCTCTTGGTTTTATTATGATCGGGTCTCTTGTTTTTTTCCAACCTTATTGCTCGATATAAACATTCAGCAATCAATGTCATATTGAATTCTTTCAAAGAACATTGAAAATAATAAATCTAAATTTGATTTACGGGGATCAATTTTCTAAATGAGGTCATGGTGATGTGATACTGAGGACAGATGGTGAATCACAGCGAGGCGCTTTGTATCTCCTTGAATTCATTTTTAGTAACAGGGAACAGTATTTTATGCCAGTGTGGTGTATACAGTAGATCATTCTAAATTTAGTGGACTAATTTTGGAGTTGTGAGGTGGAGAGTCTTTCTTTTATGAGGCCAGTCGACAGGAGGAATTGGATGGAAGGAGATGAAAGAAGCACGTCTCAGTTTTGTTCAGCTGAATCTTAAGGACACCTTAAATGTTGTCTGGGAAGCAAAATGAGGTTCCCTGTCTATATTCAATTGCAGTTTTTTTGCACCATTTTTTTTTAATTCCCAGGACTGCAGTGTAATATATGTATTGGTGGGTCTGTACACTTTTATATTTTATTTGAAAGGTTTTTTTGTTTTGTTTTATTTTCAGCAAGAATGCATTCATTTAACCAAAAGTGACAGTAGAGGCTAAGATTAATGTTACAAAAGATTTCCATTTCAATTAAATGCTGAAACTTTCTTTTCATCAAAGAATCCTGAAAAAAAAAATAGCATGGTTTTGGCGAAAATATTAAGTGGCTCAAATGTTTTTGATATTCGTAAGAAATGTTTCTTGAGCATCAAATCAGCAAATTAGAATGATTTCTGAAGGATCATGAGACATTCAGCTTTGCCATTACAGAAATAAATTACATCTTAAAATATATTCAAATAAAACAGTTCTTTTAAATTGTAATAATATTTGTGAGCATAAGAGACTTTCAAAAATGTTTTATAAACTTAATTTATTCCTTACTGTCGACTGCTGGTGCACACATATTTGTAATATCAATGGTTTAATATTGTTGTAGTCTTTTTCTTAGCAAATATTCATATATATGACTAATTTCAGTGTAATTATTCAACATGTACACACAACAGGTTTTTTTCCACTCTCTCTCTATATAAATATAAATAACAAATTTCTCTCTCTCCACAGATGTAGATGTCTCCGTGCCCTTCCCAACAGGCTCTCTTCAGAGAAGAAAAAAGGGCCTAGCTGGTCTGCATCAACCAAAGCAGAAGTCCAAACCAGCGCTGCTCATCGGCCTTCCGCAGGATTTCCGGCAGATCTCTTCTATCATAGATGTGGACATCTTACCCGAGACGCATCTCCGTGTCCGTCTGCACAAGCACGGCACCAACAAACCCCTCGGCTTTTACATCAGAGACGGCGTCAGCGTCCGCATCACTCCCCAAGGGGTAGAGAAAGTTCCCGGCGTCTTCATCTCCCGCCTGGTAAAAGGCGGTTTAGCAGAGAGCACAGGATTGCTGGGAGTCAACGACGAGATTCTTGAGGTGAACGGTATCGATGTGGCAGGTAAATCACTGGACCAGGTCACCGACATGATGGTGGCTAACAGCCACAACCTCATCGTGACAGTGAAACCTGCAAATCAGCGGGTGCACAACACGATGCACCGTGCGAGTAAAACATCTGCTGGCAACAGTTCCGCTGGCTCGGGAGGCTCCGCCCTCTCACATGACTCCGCCCCCAGCCCCGCCTCACAGAATGCCAGCCAATACAGCAACAGCAACAGTGTGGCTGAGGGTGACAGTGACGATGATACTGACCTCATCCTCGAGAACGACAACCTGTCGACGTACATGCCACACCGTATGACTAATGGCAATGGCAGCCATGCTAACACCCTGTCGTCGGGTGCATTTGCGCACAGGCCCCTCCCACAAAGTGTTTCCTTGCCCAGTAGCAGCTCTTTAAGCTCCCTGACTACACCTACACACAACAGCAGCCCCACCAAGACGAGCAGTAGCCAAGAAAGTATGAGAGAGGATGGCAACTTCATTACGTTGTGAGCTACAGCAAGTTTTGAAGCCTTTATGCACATTTATAAGAAAATGAAGGAATGAAGGAACTATCGACTATTATTTCTCAGCCATTACTATCACAAACAACAACTTATTCACATTCTTCCCCAATGAATGAGTGAATGAGGACGCATGGGTTGCACAATCTAGCCCGTGTGTGAGGGCATGTGGCTGTCACTGTATGGAAGTGCCTTATGGCCCCCTAGTTATTATTTCTTCTTTTGGGACAAATCAACCATATTCATCTCTGTCGACTCAGAAGTGTGCTAGCTACTACTGGGGCTCCTGATGTTAACACTTGCACCTCAGAGGCCGTCAGAGACAAACAAATTGCCTCTGTGGAAATGATGCGTGTCTTGTTTTGGATTCATTCTCACTTATGATCTCTTATGATGCCTCTTGCATTGATAATGATGGTAATGTTGATGGAAGATGATGATGAGGAGGTGGAGGAAAATATAAGAGTGTTAAACCGGATCTGATCAGTGTTGATTATGCTTGTTTGCTCATCTCATCTCATTCTGATGCTGATCGTGCTTTCTCAAACTCAAAATGTCTACCAAATGTGCTCTACATGATGATTTTAAAGTGTTTTTTCTAGTCAAGTCATCAGTTCAAAGCATTTATTAATCACATTTTTAATGTCTCGAGATAGGAAGTGTAGATCATTCCAAATATGAAAACATTTAAAGATATTTTTACTCTGTTCTGTCACTCTATTGTTTGTATAAAAGCCATTTTAACTCCCAAGTTGGCTTAGTTTTCACATTCATCATCTCTGGTGTCAAAAAAGCAAGGAAATGGAAACCTCTTTTTGGGTTCCTTTTCTGTCTAATGTTGCATTAAAAGTTTATTCACCCAAAAATAAAACTTCTTGGAAATGTACTCACCCTCATGTTATTCCAAACCTGTTTGACTTTCCATCTTCTGTGGAACACAAAAGAAGATATTTTGAAGATTTTTGGTTACCCAATAGTTTGGATACCATTGACTTACAAAAAACTCAGAATGTCATCTTTTATGTTCTACAGAGGAAAAAAGTTAAACGGGTTTGGAACAACATGAGGGGAGATGATAAAATGTTTAAAAAACATTCTGACACAGGTTCTTTCTTGTTGAAGGATGCCAACCCGTTTTCCCCTCTTTGTTTTTAGTTTTTCTCCCCCTCCGGAAAAATAGGAATCTATATACATAACTGGCACCAGTGCGGTGTAACTTCAGAAAGACTTGACCTCTCATTGACTCAGTCTGTCCATTCTCCTGTGTGCTCAGTTTTTCTGTAGAGAGCAAAAAAGGAAATTCCTTTCATGTTTGGAAAGGCCAGAATTCTGCACATTGGGACCTTTTTCACACAGTACACTCCTGATGGCCAAAGCTGTGAGGCTTTCTTAGCCATGGTGAGTGTGTGCTGCATGTGTGTGTTCGCTCTTATTTTTAAAGTATAATCTTACAGAAACGGCACTGAGGTGGATGGACACTTGTCAGTCCTGGAGCCAAATATTGGTTTCTCTAATGTCCAACAGACCCGAGCGCTGTTTTCAGGCAACGAGCTCCCAGGTGAACGCTTGTTTAGACTGTGGAGATACCGGCCTCGGGACGTCCTGCGCTTCAAAGGCTGTCTATCAAACCATTATGGAGAAAGAATGGTGAAATGCATAAAAAAATCTCAGCGCTTTTTCCAGCTGTACTGATGAGCTAATTCTCCTTCATCATGATAGTTTTAGGAATAAATGAAGGTGTTACTAATATATGTGACCCTGGACCACAAAACCAGTCATAATTAGCACGGGTATATTTGTAGCAATAGCCAAAAATATGCTCCCCCCCCTCCCTTGCCCCCGCCCCCAGCCCCGCCTCACAGAATGCCAGCCAATACAGCAACAGCAACAGTGTGGCTGAGGGTGACAGTGACGATGATACTGACCTCATCCTCGAGAACGACAACCTGTCGACGTACATGCCACACCGTATGACTAATGGCAATGGCAGCCATGCTAACACCCTGTCGTCGGGTGCATTTGCGCACAGGCCCCTCCCACAAAGTGTTTCCTTGCCCAGTAGCAGCTCTTTAAGCTCCCTGACCACACCCACACACAACGGCAGCCCCACCAAGACGAGCAGTAGCCAAGAAAGTATGAGAGAGGATGGCAACTTCATTACGTTGTGAGCTACAGCAAGTTTTGAAGCCTTTATGCACATTTATAAGAAAATGAAGGAACTATTATATCATCGACTATTATTTCTCAGCCATTACTATCACAAACAACAACTTATTCACATTCTTCCCCAATGAATGAGGACCCTTGGCCGCATGGGTTGCACAATCTAGCCCGTGTGTGAGGGCATGTGGCTGTCACTGTATGGAAGTGCCTTATGGCCCCCTAGTTATTATTTCTTCTTTTGGGACAAATCAACCATATTCATCTCTGTCGACTCAGAAGTGTGCTAGCTACTACTGGGGCTCCTGATGTTAACACTTGCACCTCAGAGGCCGTCAGAGACAAACAAATTGCCTCTGTGGAAATGATGCGTGTCTTGTTTTGGATTCATTCTCACTTATGATCTCTTATGATGCCTCTTGCATTGATAATGATGGTAATGTTGATGGAAGATGATGATGAGGAGGTGGAGGAAAATATAAGAGTGTTAAACCGGATCTGATCAGTGTTGATTATGCTTGTTTGCTCATCTCATCTCATTCTGATGCTGATCGTGCTTTCTCAAACTCAAAATGTCTACCAAATGTGCTCTACATGATGATTTTAAAGTGTTTTTTCTAGTCAAGTCATCAGTTCAAAGCATTTATTAATCACATTTTTAATGTCTCGAGATAGGAAGTGTAGATCATTCCAAATATGAAAACATTTAAAGATATTTTTACTCTGTTCTGTCACTCTATTGTTTGTATAAAAGCCATTTTAACTCCCAAGTTGGCTTAGTTTTCACATTCATCATCTCTGGTGTCAAAAAAGCAAGGAAATGGAAACCTCTTTTTGGGTTCCTTTTCTGTCTAATGTTGCATTAAAAGTTTATTCACCCAAAAATAAAACTTCTTGGAAATGTACTCACCCTCATGTTATTCCAAACCTGTTTGACTTTCCATCTTCTGTGGAACACAAAAGAAGATATTTTGAAGATTTTTGGTTACCCAATAGTTTGGATACCATTGACTTACAAAAAACTCAGAATGTCATCTTTTATGTTCTACAGAGGAAAAAAGTTAAACGGGTTTGGAACAACATGAGGGGAGATGATAAAATGTTTAAAAAACATTCTGACACAGGTTCTTTCTTGTTGAAGGATGCCAACCCGTTTTCCCCTCTTTGTTTTTAGTTTTTCTCCCCCTCCGGAAAAATAGGAATCTATATACATAACTGGCACCAGTGCGGTGTAACTTCAGAAAGACTTGACCTCTCATTGACTCAGTCTGTCCATTCTCCTGTGTGCTCAGTTTTTCTGTAGAGAGCAAAAAAGGAAATTCCTTTCATGTTTGGAAAGGCCAGAATTCTGCACATTGGGACCTTTTTCACACAGTACACTCCTGATGGCCAAAGCTGTGAGGCTTTCTTAGCCATGGTGAGTGTGTGCTGCATGTGTGTGTTCGCTCTTATTTTTAAAGTATAATCTTACAGAAACGGCACTGAGGTGGATGGACACTTGTCAGTCCTGGAGCCAAATATTGGTTTCTCTAATGTCCAACAGACCCGAGCGCTGTTTTCAGGCAACGAGCTCCCAGGTGAACGCTTGTTTAGACTGTGGAGATACCGGCCTCGGGACGTCCTGCGCTTCAAAGGCTGTCTATCAAACCATTATGGAGAAAGAATGGTGAAATGCATAAAAAAATCTCAGCGCTTTTTCCAGCTGTACTGATGAGCTAATTCTCCTTCATCATGATAGTTTTAGGAATAAATGAAGGTGTTACTAATATATGTGACCCTGGACCACAAAACCAGTCATAATTAGCACGGGTATATTTGTAGCAATAGCCAAAAATATACAAATACAAAGATTGTATGGGTCAAAATTATCGAAATAAAATCATTAGGATATTAAATAAAGTTCCATGAAGATATTTTGTAAATTTCCTACCGTAAATATATTAAAACTTAATTTTTGATTAGTAATATGCATTGCTAAGAACTTCATTTCGACAACTTTAAAGGCGATTTTCTCAATATTTACAGTTTTTTGCACCCTCAGATTCCAGAGTTTCAAATATTGTCCTATCATAACAAACCATACATCAATGGAAAGCGTATTTATTCAGCTTTCAGCTGATGTTTAAATCTCAATTTAAAAAAATGGACCCTTATGACCGGTTTTGTGGTCCACGGTCACATATTTATTTATTTTTTAATTATTCCAAATGTTTTGAAGGACATCTTGAGTTTTACATTTTCAGGTAGAAGCAGGTACCAGTAAAATGAGTCAGGAAGCCAGTCTTTCCGTGTCATAAATGATGGGCGTGATTCATGAAGGTGTAGCCTCATCTGCTCAGCATTATCTGGTTTAACTTGATCAGCAAAACAAATGAGGTGTTACTTCGCCACAGAACTGACATTTATCAAGGTAGCCTTGACTCTGAAAGAGAATGTAGTTTATTTGTACAATCTAGACGTAACATCTGCATAACTGACACTCAGTGACTCATTGCCTCGGGTTTTCACAGCAGACAGTGAGGACAAATGAAACCAGAGGGTGATTTGAAATGTATAGCTACAGACATCTGGTGAAGCGTGTAGTGTCACTTTGTTTTGTTTTCTATATTCAATTGAATAGGTTTTATTGGCATACTCTAGATCAGGGGTGCCCAAACTCGGTCCTGGAGGGCCGGTGCCCTGTAGAGTTTAGCTCCAACTTGCCTCAACACACCTGCCTTTAAGTTTCTAGTATGCCTAGTGAGAGCTTGATTAGCTGGTTCAGGTGTGTTTAATTGGGGTTGGAGCTAAACTCTTCTGGACACCGGCCCTCCAGGACCGAGTTTGGACACCCCTGCTCTAGATGAAGAGAGAGCTGGATTTTAAAGAGAA